CCAGATATCTTCTGGACTCATTAATTTTGTGGTACCAAGGAGGAAGGGGCCTCCTTGTAATTGGACCATAATGCTGACCACTTTCCTGTTTCAGAACTCCCTCAGGAATAATGTCTTCCTACCTTCCAGGTAGCTCTCTCTTCATTGATGTCAGCTTCCAATTGCTCAGCTTCCTGCTGCTCCTGTGACAGCTTCTTCAGAGCTTCCTGGAGCTTCTCCTGTGAGAATAAAATCACCAAAGTCAAGCTACAAGGTTTTCCAGAACCTGGATTAAGGATAAATGGAGAAGAAATGAGGAACATTTCAGAAAACACTAAAGTTTTAGAAATGAAACTGGCAATTTGGAACTGAGAATGTAGACAGAAATCTGAGGAGGCGAATGTACTCTTTCTCCCTGAGTGATTCGAGTTACCACCCCTCTATCAAGAGTATCTTGTATCTCTTTTCCTGGAGGAAGACCTGATCCTGCTGCAAGTAAAGTCCTTTCCTCTCATGAACACTTTTCTCTCCTCTAAGCAAATATTCCTAAAAATCCTGCCTGCTCACAGGGGCAATCAGAATTTATCTTAGGAAGCAACTCTCAGTCATACAACTTCTCTTTGCTATGATCGTGTAGTCTACATTCATTCTGGAAAAAAATGAAAGTGCACAGAAATGTTCTTCAAGCCTCGGAAGCTGAGCCAAGGGTATGAAACAAGAATGCAGGGCTCACTTCAATGGTGACAAATGGAATGAATACTATTAAAAAGTAAAGATTTCTCTTCAGGTACCATTCAGTATTTCCCCACGCTGGGGCTTACCTGACATTCCTTGACCACCTCCATGATGGGGGACATTTGGTGACCTTGGTGCTCCTGAACACAAAGCCTGCAAATAGCCTTGCCATCGTCCTTACAGAAGATATCATAATTTTCCCCATGGTGCTCACAGAGATCTCTCCTCCTCAGCTGCTGTGAACTCTTGTCGACCTCCCTGAATTTCTTCACTCTCTCTGCCAGCTCCCAATTAAACCGGAGGTTCCAAGGCTGGTATGTGCTCTGGCAAACAGGACAGAAGCATTCCAATCCTAAAGGGTCCCCTGATTGACTCTCTGCAGTGATACAGTCTTGGCAGAAGCTGTGGCCACAGTCCAAGCTCATGGGTTCTGTTAGGACCTTCTGGCAGATGGGACAGGTCACCGCATTTATGCTCTTTTCTGATGAAAAATTCATGGCCAATCTCTCCTGGCTTCTTCCTGTCCTGACTCCAGAGGCTCTTCTTGCTTACAAACCCCTTGCTCACAAGCTGTGGGTCTGGTAATACCAAAGGGGGCAGGGTAAGAATGGCAGGAAGAGAAAGAACACTGATGTGCAGAGATTTACAACAGGACAAAACATTAATAATCAGTTAGGAAAGGAAAAGAGAGAGAGAAGAAGGGTAGGTCAGTGACAGAATGGAAAGGGAGTTTTGTAATACTTTCAAACATTTTACTCTTGGTTCATGTCACATGACAAATTTCATCTGTTTGATGCAATGATGGATTGCTATTTTCTCTGTTTCTGTGGAATAGAGGGACAATTTGAAGTCCTTCCTACCAAGAGCTTTGTGCCTCCCCATCATGAGTCTTCTCTAGTTTCCCCCTCCCCCAAACACATCCAACATGTTAAATACACCAACCTGACTGCAGCCTGTTGGGTTTTTATACTTGCTCTTCTCTGCATGGAATGATCTTACCTATCACTTGCATGACTTATTTTATTTTAACAATTCAATGAAGTTATATTTACATCCCATGGTTTTTTACAGAGTAATAATTTCTAGTAAATTTATAGAATGGTATAACTATAATGGAATAGTATAACTATTAATGGAATGGTATAATTTCTAGTAAAATTAATGGAATGCTAAATCTGGTATCACCAAATTTTATTTTAGAACATATTTATTTTTTTTAAACAAAGCTAATGCCATTAGCAGTCACCCCTATTCTGACCCCTTCTCGGGCTACCATTAATCTCCCTTGTAATTTAACAAATTTACTTTTACTGGAAAATTCATAACACTGGAACCATATGGTCTTGTGAGTCGGAATTCTTCTACTTGGCATATGTCATTGAGATTCATCTCTCCTGCCATTCTCTCCCATACAAAAAACCTATATAATACTAAAATAAAAAAACCCACTGCTGTCTCTGAGATTTTGCACTTATTGTCTCTGCATGGCATGATCTTCTCCCTGATGTCCACATGCCTTCTTCTTACATTTTATTCAGTCTCTGTCCTACATGGTCTCTTATCAGAAGGGCCTGCTCCAGGATATCTACAGCAAAACTGTTAATACTATCACCAGCCATACATTTGCTACATTTTTCTTATTTTACTTTAGAATATATAATATCTTTCTTTAACTGTTTACTTTTTCTTCTTAAAAATGAATTCATGCACAGATTGGGCACCATTCTGTCCACTGATGTGTCCTCCATACCTAGAAGAGTGGATCACACGGGAACACAATGTTTGATGAATATAGAAAACTAGAAGCTCCCCATCTCTCCATGGAAGATTAGAACTTTTTAATCAGCTCTTCACTTTTATACCACAATCAGCAGTTCTCCAATACCTGACAATTGTTTCCTTGCTAACAACACACCTGCCTCCCACAGAGCATCCCCATGCCCTCAAACTCATTCCCCAGAGAAACCTACAGAAACAGCAAAGACCACAATAAAGAGGTCATTTTATTAGTAACAGTTTTATAACCAGTTGTAATTTAGAAATTACCTTGACCTATTTATTTATTATATGAAATTTTTGAAAAATGAATACTCCCTTCTTGGATTAAGGATTACACAAAATAGTCACAAAATCAATAGGGGAATATAAAAGTAAGGCATAAGGAATATAGTCCAGAATATGGTAATAACTATGTATGGTGCTAGGTGGGTACTTGAAATATCAGTGGGGAAGCAATCACTCTGTAAACTACATGATTGTCTAAGTACTATGCTGTAAGTCTGAAACGAATACAGAATTATACTGAATGGTGACTATAATTAAAATTTCAATTAAAATAAAATAATAAAATAAATTTAAATATAAAAAAGAATAGTCATTAGATGTGTATCTATAATAAATAACTTACAGAGTTCAGGGTCATTCTTTTAAAATAGAGATGTTGGGAAACTTGCCATTCAGTGTTCTCTCCACTACTGCACAGATCAAATAGAGATAGAGGCTGCATTGGGTATCAACTAGATTGATACCCAGTGCTATCGAGGTATAGAAACAGAGAGAACAAAACCATCTGGGTAGTTCTGGGGAGTTTTGTATTTGTAGATTTGGGGCCTATGCCATAGCCAGGACATAAGGCAATGTGTCAATAGGCACATAAATGTGTGCGTTTTTAGGGAGGGAGAGGTGTCTTTACATACTCAGAATCACACATACAACAGAGACCTGAGGGACATAAATTCCAACGAGGCATCTGTCAGTCAGGGGAGGGAAGACTCAATATGTAAGGATGCCATGTCCTGGAGAAATAAACTGTGTCCTGTTCCAAGCACATTAAGTGCTATTATGAGTTGAATTGTGTCCTTTGAAAAGATATTGAATTCTAGCCCCCAGAATGTTGGAGTGAGTGTAACTTTGTTTGGAAATTGTGTCTTTGCAGGGGATCATGTTAAAATGACATCATTAGGATATATGTTAATCCAACATGACTGTGTCCTTATAAACAGGGGAAATCTGTGTACAGATAAACACACGTGCGTAGAGAATGCCCTGTGAAGACAAAAGCAGAGATCAGGGTGATTCGCTAGACAAGAAGGAATGCCAGTGAGTGCAAGCCAACTCTCAGGAGTGCAGCCAGCAGAGAGGCCTGGAACTGCTGCTTCCCTCACAGCTCTGAGAGGAACCAGCCTTGCCAGCATCACTGATGTTTTATTTCTAGCCTCCAGAGGAAATTTCTAGCTGTGAGAGGAAATTTCGGTTAAGCCTCCTAATTTGTAGTACGTTTTGTATTGCAGCCCTGGAAAACTAATGCACGTTTATTTTTCTTATATTCATTTAATGTATCATTGAAGAAGCATTATACCATTGAAACCGTTCTGCTTAAGGCAGACAGACAGAGACAAAATGTATTCTTGCTTTTGGAGATGGTCCAATGTGTAGGTTTACCGAGTAAGGTAAGGGCCAACTAGGGTGTTGGTTTTCTTATCTCACTATATCCTAACACTCTGCACAGGGGCTTTCTGTATCTGTGCACTTCAGACAAGAAAAATGAAAGCATTCCCACAATGTGAAAAAGTCCTATGAGGGGTTTAGCCAATATCCTTGAAACCTCTCCTTCACCCTGATTCACAGACTGCCTGTGGGAAGGGGAGCCTGTCGTTGGCACCCAGAGACCTGAAACCTCAGGACCATTGCAGCTCCTCCCCATTCTTTTGTATTCATTGTTTTTTCTTCTCCCCACATACTTCAAGTTCAAACCCTTCCTATGAGGGGTTTAATTTGAACCACTTAATGAACCTCCCTGAAATGTTCTACCTCTCAGGTCATTTTATTTCAAAGAAGTCATTTGGTAACAGAGGCCATCTTCAGAAAGTGACCCCTAGTCTCATCACTTTCTCTCACAGTCAGTTCATCACAAAGCCCTGCAGTACTCTCTTCAACTTAGGTCCCATCCAACTCTGTCTTTTACCTGGATTTCAGGAACGGTTTCCCACTAGTCTTCCTGATACTGTCCCTGGTCTCACACAGTCTTCTGTCGTCACAGATCACCACCAGCCAAAGTGATTTTTTAAAGTACCTATTAACGGTGTCACTCCTTTGTTCAGATGCACAGCATCAGTGAGTTGATCTCATCATGGTCTAGTTGGATCCAATTCCACATCCCCTTCTGCTGCCTCACCCTCTCATCCCACCTTCCCTCCTACCCACACTGGCTGCCTTTCTGTTTCTTAATCAATCAGTATAAAAAAACATCATTTCCTTGAAGATTCCAACCAAAATCACCTTCTCACACTGAGAACTAACCCGAAGTTTGTTTAAAATGGCAAAGCCCTTTATCAGGGCATAATACAAGCCTTGTCCTGTTATAGCCCATTTACTTTAATATTGTTGTATCTTTGTTTTACACTTATAACATAATCATTTTTCCTTGTTTTATACCTCCTAACTCTGTCCCAAAATATAGTTTCTTTAAGTCCATATGTTGTACGTTCAATAGAAGTTAACACAGTTTTTTTTACCAGGGTTGTATGCATTTCTGCTTTAGATTTTAATACAAATTTCAAAATGTATAATCACTTTCCCCCATTGGGGTGACCTGCAATAACACATGAGAATTCAATTAATATCCCAGATATAAACCTTGTCCATGTTAGATAAAGACGCATGTTTCTGAGAAGAGAGAGGAAAGGAAACTACACACTATCAAAATACAGGTAACACAGATATCAAGGTACAAGTGTCTCAAAGGCGAAATTAAGATGGAGTTCTTTCTGAAAAATTACCAACTCCTTCTTTCAGCTACATGCTAGGAAAATGTTAAGAACCAGGTTAAAGTAATAAACAGTGGAAGGGTATGTCTAAGATGATACAGAATGTGTTCTGAAGTAGAAGCGGCCACCAGAGCGTCATGGGGTAAACTGAGGTAAGAGTAAGCAGTGGGACTCAGGAGAGAAGAACCCCGAGTTCCATAACTTACTAGACCCTGAAAAAGACAAGGGACCAGGTGGGAGCCACAGAGACGCGCAGCAACCTGAGTGTGGAGGCCAAAGGGCTGACCATTTATCAGGAAGGATGTGCACAGATTCCCACAAGTTACCAAGACAACAGTAAAAGTATCACGGTCTAGGGCAGAGGCCTCAGGTGCCATGTCTGGTCTAAAGATGGGAAGAAAAAGTGCCTGAAGCAGCCCTAGATGCAGGCCAAGAAGATAGACTAGGAAAAGAAGGCATTCAAACAGAAACAAAAGGGGAGCAGAAGAAACTTTAGTTGCTGAAAGCAAAGGCCATGGGGAAGAACCCCCCCAGGACACAGGTGACATAAAGAAATCTGGCCAGAAGTGAGCTGTTTCCTGTGCCTGGTGAAATGGTGATTTTAATTCCATTTCTATTTAACATTAGGTTTAAACAACAGTTTAACAACTGCTGCTACTAATAGCTAGAATGAATTGTCTTGGAACTCATTGCATATTTAATGATAAATTTTAGTAAAAAATGACAATAATTTAACAAAAAAGTTAAAGGATCAGCTTCGGCAGGGTCTCATTCATGGCAGGGCCCCTAAAATCCTTCCCCCTATGTGCACCGGGGTAAAAGATGTTACATCTCCGGGCCCTCACAGAAGCCTGGCCTATATGAAGATGGATACCAGGGCCCCGCCTCACAGGCTTCAGTGGAGAAAGGTAGGAAGGGGTTATCTGCCTGGGAAAAAACAAAGGGTAGGAGTAATCTGGCTCACTTTGGCAAGGTAGAATGTCAAAGCTACAGAGTAAGAGGAAAATAAGGGTAAGTCAGCCTGGAGAAATAATGGTACCTCCAAGAAACATTTAAGACTCTGCTCTTTTAAACCTCCCTTCTTTGAAGGTCACTCTTTCCCCAGATTCAATGTTCCCCTTTCCTGCCATCTCAGCAGAGACAGCCACAAGCAGAGCAGCTTCAGAACCACAATTTAAGTCATCAAACACATTCAATCTGTGCCCCCAAAGCCTCCTGTCCTTTGCCCTCAGAAACTGCCCCACTTACCTTCAGGAGAAGTACAGCAGTCCTGAACCAGTGGAGATCAGCTGTAGGTCTGCTCAACATTTACTCACCAAGCCAGAGACCAGCCCTCCACAGAGCAGCTCCCCACAGGAAAAGGGTGAAAAGTGAAACTTAAATGCTTAGGAGTGGAAATAAACAAAGGAAGCAGAAGAGAAACTTAACAACAATGCCACCTAGTGGGACGCTTGGGGAAGTTAATGCCTCAGTAAGTTCTAGGACCTACCCCAGCACAGCTCTGAATCACTGGTTTTCTCCCTTCTGCAAGAATATTTGAATAGGGAGAACATGATTTCCAATGATATAGTCTTCAGCTTGACTGAATTCTCAGAATTTCAGTTCAATTCTATAACTATCAGTTAAGCTTCTCTGTATTCAGGTCCTGAACAATTTACTAGGGATTAAATCACCATGCAGAAAGTCTGGGTCCCTGCCCTTTGTAATGCAGAGTGTGATGGGGAAGATAATCAGGGAAAGAAGTCTGTTAATTTGAGCTCGGTGGTGGCAGCTGTCTTTGTGAGTGGTAAAAATAAAATTTAGATAAGGTTCTTCACTGTGAGTCTACTGAGAAAAAATGTCCACAACATTGTATCTTAGAAGTCCACCAGTTAATCAGCACCTTTTGTTCCTGACTGAGGCAGGCCCGACATAATATTGGCACAACTGTGTCAGTGACAAGTTACCAGCAACCAGGAGGTAAGCAGATGGTGCTGTTTGAGTGTAGCCTTTCTCTGGGTAACACTGATACCTCCATAATCGTGTACTCTCCCCACTTCCTGTAGAAGGCCTGATCCCTTTTCCACTATTAGTCAAAAGCACAACTGAAATAAATTTTTAAAATAAATTAAAAAGGAGATACAACTAATGCATGACATAGTACTATAATAATAGAATAAAAATAAAATAAGTATACTTTATAAAAAATGCATAACTGAAATATTTTTATTTGCTATACACACTTTCCTGACCTTTTATTGATCTTGTTCTTATGAGAACATGTTTCAGATGGTGCAGATGCAAGATGGGGAAGCTCCAGACAAGGGTCCCTGACTGACAACACTGCAGAGCTCAGCCATCTTCATACACTAACTCATATGAGATGCAGGATGACCAAATCATCAATGTTTTTCTAATTAAAGCACAGATATTTTGGTATTGTTGGTAAACCACAGAAGAGTAAGTTAATGTTGTCTCATAAACTGTTCTTGATTCACTTATGTCTATGAGGCAGGAACTGTAATTAATATAGGCAACCTTGTTGAGCCGAATTGACAGTTTCAGTTTCAAGGATATGAATGAAGTAATTTCTAATAAACTCATGAATCTTAATAATAATCATCATGCACAATAATAATCATGTAAATTATGCATTAATTGTGTGCTGAGAGATGGCACATCTCTGCTCCAAGGTTTTCTCAAATCTTGGGAAAGTGTTAAAAGTCCAGAGGACAAAGGGGAAGACATTTCATCAGGTTCCTCACTGAGCAGATGTCATGACTGGAGTAAAAATGCACAGCCCAAGGAGAGTTCACTTTTCCCTCTCACACAGAACTCACATGGAACGTGGAGCATGCTGGTATCATCGGCACTGGTGAAAAACTGTATGTGGTGAGAGAATCATCACAGATTCAGGTCATGAATTTAGGCAAAATTTTGGCCTAATATTCAGTTTACTTGATAGGATCTGACTCTCTCAGTTGAAAATCTAATGCTTTATAGAAGAGTTCCAACATAGCAGCAAAGGGTGAGGGGCCATTTCAGAGATTCAAAGGGAAAGGAGTAAAGTGATGAACAGTGGATCTGTGAAAGGACTGGGGGGAAAAAGTATGAATAGAGGAAAGGTCATGGGATACTGGAGGTCATTTCTTTTGAACACTGCAGTCAATACCCCTGTGCTGTGCTTGTCACTCATGCATAGTCATACTCTGAGCTCTACGAAACCCTCATTTTCAATCATATAATAGACCTGAAACTACGTCACTTAATATCTCTGCTTTAACCACCATGCTCCATGTCACCATTGTTCTCTTCTGCAAGTATGGGGAAATGTAAAATGGTATAATCATATTTAAGAAAATATGGCAGTTTGTAGAACAAGAGAACCTAAAATCGAGTAATTCAACTTACAGCTAACAATATTCAACTTTGCTAACAGCAAAGCAAGTAAAAGTGAAGCTCCATTTCCACTAGTAGAGATGTATATTTGAACAAAACAGCCCTCTTAACCTGTAGATCAACATTATAAACATGGCACAAATGAAAAGAAAGCAGAGGAACAAAGGAAAACTAAACCTGAAGGCAGAGAGAGTGAAACAAGTGCAACAAGCAATCACAATCTACAGTGAAACAGACAGTTGGAAGACAGGAACAGTATTAGAGGTATCTCTTAGTTTTGATTTTTTTTGAAGACACACCTCAGTTGGAAGTAGGGAGACAGTTATAACTTTGCAACATATAGATTTATTAGCTAGAAGAAGATGATGAAATGTGGAGTTACCGCTGCAGCTAGAAAGTGTTAGAACATATTTAAAAGAGATCTAGAGGGAAAAAATTCCATGTTGCACATAAACTCTCTGAACCACAGATTTGAGATAGATGACAAGCAGCCCTATTAGGGCTAATGGAACTGATCACAGATATTAGGTCCTGCAAAATGCAGAGAAAAATTTATAATTTGAGGCCTTGCCAAGATTCTAAGGCTTTTCTCCCACTATTGTTCAGTTGTTTGTTCTGGGTCATTTCTCCACATTTTAGCTGTAATTCCAGATTAGTCCTGGGAGGATGTTAATGTAACTTCTACTCACTCCTCTACTATCTTGGTTCCCTCCTCTTAAGGTAGATTTTTTAAAATTTTAATTGTTGTTCAAGTGCAGTTTTCTGTCTTTTACTCCCATTCCAGCCCACCCACCCAGCCCTCCTCACTGCCTTCCCATTTCCACACCACCTGGTTTTTGTCCATGGGACCTTTATACTTATTCCTGTAAACCCTTCCCCTGAAATTCCTTCCCCTCTCCCCTCTGGTCACTGTCAGACTGTTCTCCATTTCAGTGGTTTTAATTATATTTTGCTTGTTTGTTTTTTGTTGTTGTTGAATAGGTCCCTCTTAAAAGTGAGATCATATGGTATTTGGCAGTTGCTTTCACTTCCTGGCTTATTTCACTCAGCATAATGCTTTCCAGTTTCATACATGCTGTTGCAAAGAGTAGGAGCTCCTTCTTTCTTTCTGCTGCATGGAATCCACTGTGTAAATGTACCATAGTTTTCGATCCATTCATTTACTGATGGGAACCTAGGTTGCTTCCAACTCTTGGCTATTGTAAATTGTGCTGCTATGAACATTGGGGTGCAGAGGTTCTTTTGAATTGCTGTTTCAGGGTTGTTAGGACATAATCCTAGCAGTGGAATTGCCAGGTCAAAAGGGGTTGAAAATTTTTTTATTAAGGGGGGGGGTTGTGGGGGTTTGGGGTTGTTTTTTGTCCGTTTTTGTCAGTTCCATTTTTAGTTTTCTGAGAAAATTTCATACTGTTCTCCATAGTGGTTGTACCAGTCTGCAATTCCACCAAGAGTGCACTAGGGTCCCCTTTTCTCCACAACCTCTCCAACACTTGTTGTTTGTTGCTTTGTTTATGATAGCCATTCTGACCGGTGTGAAGTGGTATCTCATTGTGGTTTTAATTTGCATCTGTCTGATAGCTAGTGATACTGAGCTTCTTTTCATGTGTCTCTGGGTTCTCTGTATATCCTCCTTGGAAAAGTGTCTGTTCAATTCTTTGCCTATTTTTTCATTGGGTTGCTTTTCTTCTTAGAGTGGAATCATGTGAGTTCTTTATACATTTTGGAGATTAAACCTTTGTCTGAGGTATCATTGGCAACTATGTTTTCCCATACAGCTGGTTCTCTTTTCATTTTAATAGTGTTTTCTTTAGCCCTGCAGAAGATTTTTAATCTTGATGAGACCCCATTTGGTTATTCTTTTTGTTATGTCTCTTGCTCTAGGGTACATATCAGTAAAAATGTTGCTGCGTGAAATATCTGAGATTTTCCTGCCAATGTTCTCCTCTAGAACTTTTATGCTGTCACAGCTTATATTTACGTCTTTTATCCACATTGCATTCATTTTGGTGTGTGGTGTAAGTTGGTGCCAAAGTTTTTTTTTTTGCACATAGCTGTCCAGTTCTCCAAACACCATTTGTCGAAGAGGCTATTTTTACTCCATTGATGTTGTTGCCTCCTTTGTGCATTATTAATTGACTGTAGAGACTTGAGTTTATTTCTGGGCTCTCTGTTCTGTTCCATTGGTCTATGTGCCTGTTTTTATGCCAGTACCAGGCAGTATCGATTACAGTGGCCTTGTAATACAGTTTGGTGTCAGGTGTTGTGATCCTTCTTACTTTGCTCTTCTTTCTCAAAATTGCAGCTGCTACTCAGGTTCATTTATACTTTCATATAAATTTTTGATGTGTTTGTTCTATGTCTGTGAAATATGCCACTGGTACTTTAATAAGTATTGCATTGAAACTGTAAATTGCTTGGTGTAGTTTGGACATTTTGATTATGTTAATTCTTCCAATCCATGAACACAGTATGTTTCCATTTGTTTGTGTTTTCCTTGATTTCTTTCTTTAGATTCGTGCAGTTTTCTGAATACAGGTCTTTTACCTCCTGGGTTAGGTTTATTCCTAGGTTTTTTTTGTTGTTGTTGTTGTTTTTTTGCTATATGAAATGAGATCTTTTCCCTTTTTTTTCAAATATTTATTTATTTATTTTTAGAGAGAGGGGAAGGGAAGGAGAAAGAGTAATAGAGAAACATCAGTGTGTGGTTGCCTCTCATGTGTCTTCTACTGGGGACATGGCCTGCAACCCAGGCAGGGGCCCTGACTGGGAATCGAACCTGAGACCCTTTGCTTCACAGGCCCATGCTCAATCCACTGAACTGTACCAACCAGGGAGAGATCTTTTTCTTGACTTCTGCTTCTGTTGTTTCATTATTGGTATACAAAAATGCCTTTGATTTCTGGATGTTGACTTTGTATCCTGCTGTTTTGTCAATTTCATTTTTAGGTAGAGCTGTTTTTTGGCCAAGTCTATAGGATTTTCTATGTACACTATCATGTCATCTGCAATCAATGATAATTTTGTTTCCTCCTTTCTGATTTGGATGCTTTTTATTTTCTTTTCTTGTCTGATCACTGTGGCTAAAACTTCCAATACTATATAGAAAATAAGTGGTGAAAGTGGACAACCTTGTCTTGCTCCTGATCTTAGTGGAAAAGATTTTCTTTTGTGCCAGCTGAGTATGATGTTGGCTGTAGGTCTCTCATATATGACCTTTGTTATATTGAGGAATGCTCCTTCTATTCCCACTTTGCTGAGTGTTTTTATCTTAAATGGGTGTTGTACCTTAACAAAAGTTTTTCTGCATCTATTGATATGATCATGTGATTTTTGCCTTTGCTTTTGTTTATGTGATGTTATTACATTTATTGATTTGTGAATACTGATCCATCCTTGCATCCCTGGGATGAATCCCACTTGGTCATGGTGTATCATGTCTTTAATGTATTGTTGGATGCGATTTGCCAATATTTTGTTGAGGATTTTAGCATGCATGTTCATTAGCGATATCGGCCTGAAGTTTTCATTCTTTGTTGTGTCTTTATCTGGTTTTGGAATTAGGAAGATGCTGGCTTCATAAAAAGAGTTTGGGAGTCTTCCATCACTTTGGATTTATTGGAATAGTCTATGAAGAATAGGGGTTAGCTCTTCTTTAAATGCTTTGTAGAATTCTTCTGTGAAACCATCTGCTCCAGGGCTTTTGTGTGTTGGTAGATTTTTGACTACTGCTTTGATTTCATCTGCTGTTATTGGTCTGTTCAGGCTTTCTGCTTCTCCTTCATTGAGTTTTGGAAGATTATATTTTTCTAGAAATTTCTCCATTTCACCTATGTTTTCAAATTTCTTGACATACAATTCTTCATACTAATTTCTTATAATCCTTTGTATTCTGTGGTATCATTTGTAATCTTTCATTTTTCATTTCTCATTTTGTTTATTTGGGTCCTCTTTCTCTTTTTCTTGTTGAGCCTGCCTAAAGGCTTGTCAATTTCATTGATCTTTTCTAAGAACCAACTCCTGGATTCATTGATCCTCAGAATTGTGCTTTTAGTCTCTATGTCATTTAATTCAGCTCTGGTCTTGGATATTTCCTTCTTTCTACTTGCTCTGGGCTGTCTTTGTTGTTGTTACTCAAGTTCTTGTAAACATAATGTTAGGTTGTTTGTTTGACGTGTTTCTATCTTTTTCAGGCAGGACTGTATCACTATAAACTTTTCTCTCGGGACTGCCTTCACTGTGTCCCATAAGTTTTGGGTTGTTGTGGGTTCATTTTTGTTTCCAGAAACTTTCTGATTTTCTCTCTAATTTTATTCTTGACCTATTCATTGTTTAATAACATGTGATTCAATCTGTATGATTTTGAGTGTTTTGGTTTTTTTTTTTTCCCATGGGGTTGCTTTCTAGTTTTAGTCCCTTGTGATTAGAGAAAATGCTTGGGGTAATTTCAATTTTCTTAAATTTGTTGAGGCTTGTTTTGTGTCCTATCATGTGGTCTATCTTAAAAATGTTCCATGTGCACTTGAAAAGAATGTGTATTTAGCTTCTTTGGGATGAAGGGCTCTATATATATCAGTTAAGTCCATGTCATCTAGGGCATTGTTCAATGCCACAACATCTTTGGTGATATTTTGTTTGGAAGATCTATCCATTTTTGACAATGGGTGTTAAAATCCCCTACTATAACTGTGTTGCTGTCAATATCTGAAGTCCTCTAAGGTTTTCTTTATGTATTTGGATGCACCTACATTGGGTGTATATATATTTAGAATGTTCATATATTCTTGGTGGATTCTTATCTTGAGTATACTGAAGTGACCTTCTGGGTTTCTCTTTATGGCCCTTTTTTTGAAGTCTATTTGGTCTGATGTGAATATTGCTACCCTGACTTTTTTTTTCCTGTCCATTTGCTTGGAAAATTTGTTTCTAGCCCTTCACTTTCAGTCTGTGTAGGTCTTTTGTCCTGAGGTGGGTTTCTTGTAAGCAGCAGATGTGTGCGTCATATTTTGTCATATTTTGTTATCCACTCCACTATTCTATGTCTTTTCACTGGAGCATTCAATCCATTGACATTTAAGGTTATTATTGATAGGTACTTATTCATTGCCACTTTTGTACCTGTGTTCTTCTCTCTCTCTCTCTCTCGCTCTCCATCTCTCTCTCTCTCTTTTCCTTCCTTTCCTTAAAGTAGTTTTTTTAGCGTCTCTTGCAGAGCTGGTTTGGTGGAGGTGTATTCTTTTAGATTTTTTTTTTTTGTCTGGGAAGCTCCTTATTTGGCCTTTTATCTGGATTGAGAGCCTTGCTGGGTAAAGTAGCCTTGGCTGCAGCCCTCTGGTTCTCATTACTTGGAATATTTCTTGCCATCTTCTTGCTTGGAGTGTTTCCATTGAGAATTCAGCTGTAAACCTTATCGGAGCTACCTTGTATGTTAGTTCCTGTTTCTCTTTTGGGGCCTTTAAGATTCTTTGTGTTAAATTTTTGCTATTTAAATTATGATATGTCTTGAAGTGGGCTTCTTTGGGTTCCTCTTGATTGAGATTCTCTATGTTTCCTGGATTTGTGTGATTTTTTCTCTCATCAAATTAGGGAAGTTTTCCCTCATTACTTTTTCAAATGGGTTTTCTATCCCTTGCTCTTCTTATCCCTCTTGTATCCAGATTGTATGGATATTATTATGTTTCATATTATCTTGCGTTCCTCTTAATCCCTCTTCATTCTTTCTGAGCCTCTTTTCTTTTTCTTGCTCTTTTTGAGCGTTTTTTTTTCTAGTTTGTCCTCCAGATTGCTGATCTGATCTTTTGCTTCATCTATCCTGCTTTTGATTCCTTCTACTGTGTTCTTCAGTTCAGATATTGTATTCTTCATTTCCCCTTGGCCTTTGTTGATAGTTTCTATTTCCTTTTTCATGTTGATATAGTTTGCAGCAAGTTCATTGTTGTTTCTAGAGATTCACTGTGAGCTCCTGGAACTTCCTGATAACCATTGCTTTGAACTCAATATCTGTTAGTTGAGTTGCCTCTATTTCATGTAGTATTCTTTCTGAGGCTTCCTGCTTTTCTTTTATTGAGGATTATTTTTTTGTCTTTTCATTGTTTGTGTGAGAGACCCTTCTTGTTAGCCTCAGCTTCTTAAATTGATCTATTCTGGCTGCCTGGGTTTATGGTATAAAGTTTTGTGGTGGAATACTTGTGAGCATCAGTGGTGCAGTCTCCTTGATCTCCTCATCTCACTGTTCTTGGGCTGTCATTTAAGTTGGCTCTGTGTTTGTCTTTGGGTTTTGATTGTTGTTTTGTCTATCTTTGGTGGGTCCTTCCCACCAGCTGGTTAACTGAGGGTGACTCTGTTCACCACCTTTTGTATTTTGTTGTGCTGGTGAGGGCAGGTTGTTTCGTAGCTGTTTCTTCCATGTGTACAAGGTTTTGAGGTTTCTCTTTTGCTCTTGTTCAGTTGTTTGTACTGGGTAGTTTCTCCACAATTTAGCTGTATTTCCTGATAGATCCTGCATTGAGGTTAGTGTGGCTTCCACTCCCTCCTTCTCCTTCTTCTGTTATTGGTTGATGGCTCCTTTTTTGTTGGGCTTCCTCTTCCAGCAGGTATCCTCATGTTCACAGCTTTCATCTACTGTGTTTTTTTTTTGTGATCATTTGCAGGGGTAATGGCTTAAGATAGCAGGAGAGTATTCTATGATATTTATAGTAGCCACCAGTACAGAAGAGCTAGGAGATCTTTTGGCTATGAATAGTGCTAACCATGATCTTTCACCCAACTAGCCACTTTTTAGAAAGGATGGAAAGAAGATAATATTTTTTTTGGGGGGGGGGATTTTGAGTTGGATGTAGAAAGCAGTGAGGTGGTGGGAGGTCAGATACTGAGGTAAGGTGAGAGTAAATAGGTGTAGTGTGTGAGAGAATAGAGTTACTACAGTAACAAAGTTCAAGAAACTGTGAAGTGGGGAAAGATCTGGGAGGGGTGTTGTGAAGTATATACAATTGTAAGGAATAGCTATTATTTACAATAATATTAGAGCAACAATCATATGACAGAATCTATGTGATCTGGATAACAATAATAAGGGTTATAGGACCTTGAGTAGTGTGCTAATGGAATACAGGTAAAGTGAAGGACAGTAAATTAGCAATACACTATGAATGAGATAACAGGGGAATCTTGTCAAACAATACAATGTAACCATCCAAGCAAAGAAGACTAAACAGAAAGAAGAGGAATACAAATATACTACTCAAGTAAGAGATGTAAGAATAATGAAAAATGAAAATATAATTATGCAGTACCTTGCACATTCTCTGTAATAGCAAAGTAAAATTTGTCTCACTGTCTCAGCTGTTGGGATGCCCCCTCTGTGGGTCTAACTCTGGTCTTTTCACAGTTCCACGTTTTTTGTCCCACTTGTGGGTATTTAAAAAGAAAAATAAGGCGAAAGAAGAAAGAAGAGATAAAATTGGAAAGAGATGATGAAGAAATAAAACAAGAAGGAAAGAGAAGCAAAAGGAATTGAGAGATAAAAATTAAAAATTACTTTCAAAAATAAAACACACACACACACCACTTGCTGGTTTCAAACTGGCCAAACCAGTTTTTCTGGTCTTGCTGGCTGCAGCAGGTTGAAGGTCTATTGGTATTGCTTTTCTTTCTTCCTGTTCAGCACTCAGGCAGCCTTGAACTCTGCCCAGGGCTAGCTGGGCATTCTCTCCAGAGCAAGCCTGGAGCCTCTCCACAGGGCCTTGGGTGTGGGATCTGAGCCTTCCTCAGAGCACACTCTCCCCTAGTTGTGGTGTCACACTCAGCCAGGCTGCGTCTGGTTGCACGGGTTCAGGTACACACTCTTCCCAGGCCTATGCATGGGTGCTCACAGTCCCTGTGTGTTTGCTTCTTTGTCCTTATTCCCCCCTCTGTGACTTCAAGCAACCAGGTCTCTCCGTGTGTTGCTCAAAGCTTGTTTGGTCGGGGAAGAAGCAGTTGACCCAGCTCTCTCTCTCATGAGCCCTGTGGTAGACACAGGTGCAGGGCCTGGGGCCCTAACCTCCCTGGTTACTGAGCTGATCCCTGGGCCCTTATTGTCCTGAAGCACTCTCCTTACCATCTGGTTTTTCAATGTCCACTATAATTTTTGGTCTCCTATTTTCATATATGCTGGGGTACTGTTGGCTGCTTGCTCTGTTCCTCTGTAGATCAGCTAGATTTTTCTCCTGTTTGTAGGGGGAAGTGAAATCTGCTCCCTCCTACCTTGCCACCATCTTCCTCTCTCTCTCTAAGGTAGATTTGTTAATCAAGATCAATATGTAGCAAACCAGAAATATAATAAAATTCTCTCTCTCTCTTTGTCTCTTTCACACACACACACACACACACACACACACACACACACACACACATTTACCACAGGCATGGCTCATGTAGTCCTGACAGCAAAACTAGGAATCTGGCATCTGAAAAGGAAACTTCAGAGAAAACCACTCTAGTGCCCTTGAAGGCACAAACCTGTTTCATGAGACACTGACACAGCTTATATTTCTCAGTAATTAGTAGAGGAAATGTTTATTAGCTTGAGGCACAAGTTTATACTTAATGAAGTTTTAATTCTCATTATGATTCTAACTATGGTGTCCTTTTAGTACCAAGACAATTTTTAGTAAACAAAGCCAGCATTCAATTACCTTATTGAAAGTTACACTGTATGTATTTTGAGAGAATGGGCTTGAAGTCAGATGCCTGAACACAAACCTTCCACTTAGTACCTATTATTTATGATACTGTCTTCTTCAGTCCTTGATGAAGAAAGAACATCATGACTGAATTGACGCATCCCTGAAGACTCATTTGTAGTGAATGATTCCTATACAAGACTTCAAAGAATATGTAAAAGAAGTTGTTGAAAACCTGTCCCTCTCAGTGGCACAGAAAATGAAACTGTAACAATTTGACATTGATGTTTCTCCATATAGGACTTTTTTATGATGCATGTCATTTTATGTGGGATTATAGAAAATAGTGAATTAAGATTCTTTACTATGCAAACAGGACAGTGGGAAAAATATGCATAACGCAAGACAAATTGTAAACCATGTTTTTGAATGAAGGATATTGAAATGGAAAAAAAAGGGAGACAGCCATAAAAAGTTGGTGAGAATAGTGTACACGAAGTCAGTGCATTAGGATCACCCAAGGCCTGACGCGCGACAAAGAAGTGAGGGTGTGAGATTTAAGAGCTTGGAGAACACAGTGTCATGGGGCCAGTACATGTCATGGGGCAGAAATATGGATACACTTTCTGAGAAAAGGAACATGAAGAGAATTTATAGATGAGAAACCCATGGTTTGTGATGTTATAAAATGAGACTGTGTGAGCATCATAGTCCAGGAAAATGCCAACACGATGGGGAGGAACAGTCAGAATGAGCTCTACGTTGAAGGAATCAGAGGAGGAAAATTCCCCCAAAGCATAATAGTGATCCTCTAATCCTATAACCCAGAGGGACTCTTTATGTCGATCACTAGAAGTATCAGAGTCTTTTTTAAAACCACATACCCCCATGTACCAGGACCGTTTCTCTGACACGTCTACCTCCCAGTAATGTTTCCCTGATGTGATAGCCAGTGAACCCAGTACAGCAGAAGCCTTCTTATTTCCGTGAAGACGGTGCTCATATCTCACTTGTCTCCGATCTGAAGAAATGGCAACATTTTGTTTGTCCTCGGGAGGGTACAGGGTAATGTCAACTGCAGAAAGATTACAGGGTTGTGTGAGGGATATGATATACCTCTTGAGAATAACATGAGTGGAAACTGGGAAGAACTTAGTTCTATTCTTGGTAATAGGTCTAACCCTACTGAAATATACTATGTATGTGGCATTGGAAAAGAATGGTAGATCTGAAAACAACAGACATAATAGAAAACAAAGAGTTCTGAAAGGAGATGAGAACAGGGGCTTTATGATACTGTGATTTCTCCTTACCCCAATAGTGGCGCACATCAGTCAGTTCTGAAATAATAAAAATCCATAATATTAACTATAAGCAAAGGAGTTGGCACTACAATATATTTACTCTCCAATCAGGGAAATATATAAGATAGTAAGTAAACAGAAGAATGAGAGGAGAACAAGGCAGCTGGTCACTCCCCGTTAACTATGGCTACATCATCAGCACATGATATCCCTCCTCCTTTATCTCCTCTATCCACACCTAGAAACTGAACCCTCCTCCCTCTTTAACTCCCACCATCACCAGACCCCCACAGCCACCCATTTGCTCAGCATTCCTCACCATCAAACACTTGTAGCATCCCATTCAGGTCAGGAACTTGGAACACTCTCCTTTGTTTCTTGGAGACAGTTTTTGGCTTCTTCAGAGTGAAGACCTTACTCCTAAGTATGACAAAATAATATTCTCACACCTCTGACTTTTTCGCTCTCCAAAACTACTTATTCCTGTCTACTCACCCCACTAAGCACTTGAGCCTCCTTCAATGGACCCCTGAGTAAGGAGAGAGCAGACTTCTGACCTTAAAGCCAAAGAAATATGCTCATGACTAACATTAAAGTACACACTCTATGTTCTTAGAAAGGCCTTGACCTAGCAGAGGTCCTTTCAAAATGAAAAGTAACTTCCACCTCTCTTCCTTCTGGGAATCATATAAAATTACATGAAGTAATTTTTTTAAAAGGAAACTTTGATTCCTTCAAACAAAATAATGTGAGGAATACTCACTGAATGGATGTAGAGAGGTAATACATAACAGAGAGGTGGCAGAACCTGGTTCCTAGTAATTTGAGAGATACCACTATCCAGTGAGTGATTACTGTCTAGAGGGCATCTGGACTTTAAAGTCTGCTCCCTGTAGGGAGGCTCTCAGAATAAACTCTGAGATTTAGGTTCTCTGGGAAAAAAGTAACACTTGGAAAGGAAACGTTATCCATAATGAACAACATTTACTGTGTTAAACTCAGCATTTACTGTGTTTAAATGAGCTTGTTGTAGCCACATACATGTGGCTTTCATTCTGGTTCAGAAGTGCATGGTCAAGAGAGATCAATTAATTGCACCAGTGCCAAAATATTTTTTGTGACTGAAGTCTGGTTTTGAAAAATACAGAGAACTGTATGGAAGGGACCTATTTCTTCTATTCCCAAGGGAGGAATTAAATTTTAAAAGAGTCCTCTCCAATTCTGAGTGCTTGGCAGGTAGAGAAGACACAACTTACCCACAATAGATAAAGTCACTATGAAATATAGGAACCTGAGTTACATACTTGAATGTTGGGTGAATAAAATGTATGAATTCACATGGCTTTGACACTGCAACATCTCATCCCTAACAGCTGCTGATCCAAACTCTGCAAATCCCCCATCCCAACCTAAATTTGCCGCTATAGAAAGTGGACCATTTGCAATAGGTAGAGAACACTCAAACCATAGCATGTGAACAAACATTTAAGATAAAACTAAACCAGAATTTTCCTGCCCTGAGCAATATTTTATTCTAATTAACCACCAGATAACTGTAATGGCTTTAAACCTGTTTTCACAGCACCAAAGGGCCATCTCTGGTCTCCTACACATACCTTTCCATGATGCCATTCACATCCTAGGCAGAAAAGAGAAAACATGAGTCAAGGAAGTAATAGGTGTTCTCACTTACAAAGCTTCATCACATCTGCACCACTACCTGATATGGTGGGTATAGACATGGTCATAATATGAGAGTAAAAAGTAAAGAAAAGACCCAGGACAATCATTCAAAAAAAAACTTATGTGAAGTTCTCAGGTTTCCGAAAAGGTAGAATAAACTTTCACTTTGTGGAACCACAGCATAAGGCTTTTACTACCTGGACATGAGCTATAATGAGGGCAATGATACTTTACCAATATTCATAAGGCTTTCATGAGATGATTTGAATAAGTCATGGCTTGTTCATTATTCAACATGAATATAAGGTGATATACTATTACTTGTCAAGCATTAGGCCATAATTGGGAGAAATTAAGAAGACTAGTTGTAGTATTCCTCAAGAAGTTTACATGGCTTCTGCTCAGGGTACAAGCAAACAAATGTGCTAATGCAGGATCTTCTCAAGTCTTTCCTCATGTTATACACTACCTATAATTGGCCTTATTAACTCCCAAAATTTAACATGTGCAATTGATTTTCAAATTTTATTTTTACTCAGTTTTATCTCTTAAATGTAAGTTAACATATTACCTAGTGAAGAAACTATATGAACCGGTATCTTAAGATTCTTCATATTTACCTTACTCCTCACCAAACATATTGTCTCTTCCCTTCATTACACCTCTTTGTTCATGTTACTACTATCCTCTTGGTCACTGTCCCAATAATGTAACATTTACCTCATTGTCTACAGAGCCAGTTTATTCCACATTGTTAACAATTATTTTCATCTGAACTTTTTTATCATGACACTTTTATTTCTTTGAATACATATGTACCCATTTATTTGGTGTTCTCTATCTCAGACTAACTTCTTCCATGACACAATAAACCAGGCAAACTGCTGGGTTTACACGCACACACACACACACACACACACACACACACACACACACTTTGCTCTCTCTATTAGGGCTTTGTTGCAGTATGATGAAAAACAATTAAAAGTGGATGAAGTAGAGAAAAAGAATATGGGGGACAATATTTTGTCTATGTCATTCTCCAAATTCTATTTGTTTTCTGTATTGACTTTCTCCTCAGTTCATGAAGAAAATATAAATCTCCTCATATAAATGCCATATGAAAAGAGAACTGGTCTTCCCAGTTATATCAAATAATGCTGAGGCCTGCATGGTACTGGCCTGCATTGGATCAAGTGCCCACATTAAAGAATCACCGTGTTGTTGTTGTAATATACAAAGCAATGTTGGAGGCAAGTATCCATATTTTACTGGAATTCATTTAGTATTAATTTAGATCATGATAAAATAGATTGCATATTATGTTCAAAAAGCAACTACCACAGAAATAGAAACTAGTAACACAATATTTTATACTAAAAATATCTGTTTAACTCAAAAGAAGCTTACTAATGGAACAGAGAACAATGAAAATTACAGGCAACTTATAGAAGCAAATGACAATATAAATTAAATATAGCTGCATGGGAATTGCGTTAAAGGTCATGGTCTTCATCCACCAAAGAAAAGGCAGAGATATTTGGACTAGATAAAAAGCAATTTCATTACTGCTAGTGATATGAGGCATATTTTTGATTCAAAGACACAAATATAGCAAAAGTAAATTCATAGAATTCTGGTCAAAATGCTGGAGTATGTAAATGCTGTGATTATCTCCTCCCACAATTATATGAAATTTATAACTAAATTACAGAATAATCATCCTTGAGGACCACATGAAGATGAGCTGAACAGAACTCCTGTAACTAAAGATGTAGAGAAGTCACCTCATGTCTGGTAGGAGGGGCTGAGACAAAACTAGCTGGTACCACACCCTTCTGTAGACATCAAGAAATAGTGGGAATATCTTGGGTGCAGAGGGACCACCTGAGAAATGAGAAGTCGCAGCACCATATCCAGCTCCTCAGCCAGGAGTGCCAGTGCTGGGAAGAGGAGTCTCTACAACATCTGGCTGTGAAATCCAGCATGGACTCACTCCAGGTGATATGGAGGGCTACTGAAATACCAGGCATCTTTTTAAATGACTCTAGCACAGAGTCACTTCCTCACAACACCTGTCCTAAGTTCCACAAAAGAGACAGAAGCTTGCAATGTGCCAGAGATATATGGGGAGAAGCTGAATTGTCTGGCTTCAGGTGAAGGACTTGTGGGGCAACTCTCCCAAGAACTAGAGTGCTGGGAAGCACCATTGTTCTTTTGTGGAGCCCTGTCCATACACAGCCAGTAGCACAGGCCAGGGACAAATCTGAGTCTCTATCAACCAGAGTAACATCACTCATGCCCCATCCTGGTGATTATCTGAGAGACCCCTGGAGCTCCGTGCGAATGTGAACACAAAAACAGCAAAGGATACTACTATATGAGGCCACTTGGCCAAGACTGGAAGACATGACAGATATACCTAATACATAGTAATAAACATAGGGAGGCAGCCAAAATGAGAGGACAAAGAAACATGTCCCGAATGAAAGATCAGGATAAAACATCAGAAAAAATGAAGTATTTTATTTGGAATTTCTCACAGGGAAAAGAAATAGAAGCAGGAGAGCAATTTTAGAGGAGGCTGATTTTTCTGATTATCTTTTCTTCAACACAGTCCAAAATAAACAAAATAAATTCAAGCAATCCACCAGATACAGAATTCTAAACACTGATTATAAGGAGGCTCACTGAACTTAGGGCAAGAATAGATGATCTCAATGAGAACTTCAACAAAGAGATAGGAGACATAATGGAGCGGGTAAAAAGCATAACGAAGACCAAGTAAGGAATTAAGAATGCAGAGAAATAACTTTAAAAGCATAAGGGAAAAGTAGTCACTTACCTATAAGTTTCTTATAAGTCTATGAGCTGATTTCTCAACAGAAACTTTGCACGCTGGAAGGGATTGGCATTAGCCAAGTGATGAAAAGCAAGGACCTACAACCTAGATAGCTCTAGCCAGCAAAGCTGTCATTTAGAATTGAAGGAGACTCAAAGAGCTTTCCACATAAGAAAAAGTTTTACAAGAAATGTTAAAGGGACTTAAGAAGAAGAAAAATTATAATGGCATCTATAGACCCTTTCACACAATGAATGCACAATACGCATTCTTTTGAAATTTATGTAAAACTGTTTAGGTTACAAAGCAAGCGTCAATACATTAAAAAATTGGCATAATGAAATTTATGCTTTTTGGTTAGAAAGAAATTAAATTTAAAATATTCATAACAAGAAATAAGTAGAAAATCACCCAGTTTCTAATTAAACAATAGATTCAAAGATACTAAGAACTGAACAACAACAACAGAAAAAAAACACTAAAGAAATTTGAAAATAAGTTACATGGAATCAAAATAACAAGTAAATAATCAATATAGAATATAGAAAAACAATGTATCTATATCATTAAAAATGATACAGGAAAGACTGTCAAATCAGTGGTCTAAATTCTCACCTTAAGAAACTAGGAAAATAACAGCAAATTGAACACAATACACACATATGAATACACACATCTAGTACACATGTGAAAATATGCAAACATAAAGAAAAAATATAATTAAGAGTAGAAATCCATATAGAAAATTTTAAATGGGTAAGTAAATAAAACAATAAAGTTTATTCTTGAAAAACTTCAGTAAAATTAATCAAAAATCAAACTGACCAAAAGAAAAAAAAAACAACAAAACACATCATCTTATAAGAAATAAAAGAGAAAACATTACTGTGGTTACTGTAAAAATAAAAAATATTCTAGGGATTATAATGACTAACTTCATGCTTATAAATGACAACTTACAATGGACAAATTCCTACAAAGATGTACATTATCAAAATCTGACTCAAATGTTAAAAAACTTAATAAAACAGTACAGGAAAATACATACATTTTACTACATTTAAATATGTTAATATAAATATATAAATTTATATATATATCGATAAAATGATATATATACATAAATATATGTGTGTGCATATATTTGAAAACATTCTAAAAAGTAAAGGCCCAGAGTAAGATAGTTTCACTGGTGAATTTATTAAATTATTAAGGAATAAATAATATAAATCTTTCACAATTGCTTATTCAAAAATTACAGTTGAGAAAAATCTCAACTCATTCTATGGGGAGAAAATAAAACCCAAACTCTTGGGACATGAGGAAGTTTCTGAAAACTGTCCTTGGCTTCAACACAGATATAGGGATCTATAGTACATAATTGGAAACAATGAATCTTCTCTCCACAGTCAAATTTTTACTACAATTGATACATTAATAAAAATAAGATTTTCCTTGTTATTCATGCATTCAATTATTCCTATACCCTCTGAAATAGATGCAGAAAAAGGTTATTGCAAGACCATGGTAACCTCAGTGTCACTGTCACAAACTGCACAGCCACATAGCAGTACAGGAAACTTAAATCTTCATTTTCCTCAAGTTCAGATGCTGGGGCTTCTTCCCAAGTCTTACCTGCAGCATCTTCACCATTGACCCCTGCAACCGATGTTCCAGCTCTGACATGAGATCCCTCAACACCAGGCTCTGCTGGACCAGCTCACTCTCAGATTGTTCCAGGTCATGGAGAATATCTCCCTCCTCCTTCGCCAGCTTTTGCAGCTCCTTCTGCTCCTCAGAATCCAGGATGCCTCTCAGGTTTTTAAAGCAATCCTGGACAATTTGTCTCTCATTTTGTATTAGATGCTTCAGGAATGAGAAAGAAAAAGAGGGACTCAAGCTATCGAACAGAGCCTGGGAGCCAGAAAAATAAGTATTTGATTTGGAAGTTCTAATAAGGAACAGAAATGGAAGCAGGAGAGCAATATTGGGGAAGGGTAATTTTTCCTATTTTCTTTTCAACACATTCCTAAGTAATTGCCTCAAGTGTGCATTACTGAAACCAACCTTAAAGCAAAACAGGACACCTGGGTGTGGCTCAGCTTTCACACAGCTGCCCAGGACAGTCATGCTTCCCTGCATTATTCCTGACCTTCAACCCCACTCTCCACCTAACGAAAAGAACTGGGGGACAGAGCCATGAACTGCTGGAAATTGTCCTCTCCTAGAAGAGTTCAAGGCTTAACATAATGACAGCAATGAACACAGAATTCACTAGCCATCATCAGAAGGTACTCACTCTGAGAAACACTAACCTACAAATATCTGTTAATTTGTGAGAGGGTCTAATTCAGTTCCACCCACACCACAAAGAGGATGAAGAATGCCTGATCAGTGACTATATATACTGACTGTCAGGGAATATGAGGAAGGAAGGTCCTTGGGACTAAGACTCAAGGACCTGCCCAGATTTTTGTCTAGCTCCCTCAAAAAGAGTCTCCTCCTACCTTCCAGGAAGTTCCCTCTTTTTTGATGTCAGTTTCCAACTTCTCAGCTTCCTGCTGTTCAGCCCTCAGCCTGTCCAGAGATGCCTGAAGCTTTTCCTGTGGGGGAGAAATCACACCAGAGGCTAGCTATGGGATTTCTCAGTTTCAGAATAGAGGAAAAAGGGAGAAAAATCAGGCTGATCTCTAAAGAGACGGCAGTTTATGTGAACTGAGAAACACCAATTACAATCTGTGACTTGGAAACCTGATGTGGTGAATGTTTTGTCTAAGACTCACATGGTAGAAGTCCCCATTCCCATGTCAAGAGAAGAGTGATTCTCTTTGTCCTAGAAAAACCAGATCCTGTAGTATGGAAAGAACTTAGGTATCAATCCACCCAAGAGCCCAGTTACCCATCCTGTACAAAGGAACATTGACAGCTATGCTTACATGTCAAACCTCCACCAATTAGAACAAGTTATAAAAATATCAACTTCTCTTTTGAGTTTGCTCATTGTTTTGCATTTGTGTGGAGTGCACAGAAATGTTCTTCAGGCCTTGGAAGGTAAGCATAGGGATAAAAGTGATCACAAGTCTCAGGACTAGGGTAGTTAAGTAAATAGAGTCAATGTTAAGTAGACATTTCCCATCAAGTACTATTTTTTTCCTTGTCTTCCTCCATCCTGTTACCTTGTACTCCTGGGCAACTTCTTCCATGAGGAATGTATGATGACCACGGTGCTCTTGTGACCTCTCACAAAGCCAGCAAATGAACTTCCCATCCTCCTTACAGAAGAGCAGGAGTTTCTCTCCATGGCGCTCACAGAGATCTGTCTTTTGCTCCTCCTCTGGGCTCAACTTGACCTCCCTGAGCGTCTCCACTACGTTGGCCACATGCCGATTAGGCCGCAGGTTCCCAGACTGGTAGGTGATTCGGCACACAGGGCAGCTGCTCTGCCTTACTTTGCTGACCATGGACTTCTTGTAGTTTGCAGTGATGCAGGCTTGGCAGAATGTGTGCCCACAGCACAGGCTCAGGGGTTCTGTCAGGAGCTCCAGGCAGATGGGGCAGGTCACCTCCTCCTTTAATTTCAACAGGATTCCTGGATCCATTGGAATATGTCCTGATCTGAGGCTAATCTGGCTCAGAGATTTCTGCCAGATTGGAGACATTGAAGGGGACAGAGGAAGAAATTTAAAATTAAATGATGCTAACTGTGTAGATATCACAGACAGGGCCAGGACACATGTTGAAGGACAAAAAAAAAAAAGTAGAGGGACAAGGAAAGGAGCTTGGTGACCTTGTAAAAAGTACAATTCAAAACAACTTTAAATACTCTTAGTTTATCTGATGTGGCAAATTTTATTTTTATCTCTGCAATAGTTGTTATTGTCCTTTACTTATACAGAACAAAAGGATGACCTGTGGCCTTTCTAGCAAGATCTTGTGTGACCCAACATGTCTCCTGCTTCTTCTTTCCTGTGTGAAAAACACATTCTGGAAGATGAAAGCACCAAACCCATTATGCATCTGAACTTGTATACCTGTTCCTCTCTCAGCATGCAATGCAGACCCTGATATAAGTAGGACTCACTCTCTTCCTTCTGTTAATCTCTCCTTACAGGTACATTTATCAGAAACACCTCCTCCAACTGCTTATTTACAGGGTAACCATTGGCAACATTTGCTTAATGTTTTAAATGATTTCTCTCTTTTTTTTTAAAGAAAATCTTTTTTTAAAATATTTTCTTTATTTATTTTTGGAGAGAGGGGAAGGGAAGGAGAAAGAGTGGGAGAGAAACATCAATGTGTGGTTGCCTCTCATGCATCCCCTGCCGGGAACTGGCCTGCAACCCAGACATGTGCCCTGACTGGGAATCGAACCGCGATACTCTGGTTCACAGGCCTGCGCTCAATCCACTCAGCTTCGCCAGCCAGGGGTAAATGATTTCTCTTATTGTCTGACAGAATATGTGACAATGTTTGTCTACATGGCAGGAATAAATCCTTTTCAAATGTATTCAGAGAGACAGTGAGTGACTTACAAAGATTTTTTATCTTCAACATGCACAGTTGCGCTGAACCTAATGAATTCAGGGTCCCCTTCAGGGGTCTGTCAGATCCTACCATACTGAGTTAATCAAAGACATAACAGGTAACAGAAGGATCTGGCAAGTCTTGTGTTGATGAATGGTAAAATCTAATGGTTGCCTGGAAAATATGCCAAGGACATTGATAGGAGCCCCAAAGTGTCTATGTATATGAATGGTGGGGAGGGAAATGGCATAAATATACTCATAGAATCACCAAGTCACATACTTGGAGAAGTAAGAACATAAATGAAGTGAATATCTATCCTGGGAAAAAAGTCTCAAATATCAGGAAAGGTCATTCAACTAATTCTGAATGAATACCCACAAACTAATGATGAGTCAAACACTATGACTCGGACATTCACCTGAAAAGTAACAGTAAATTAATAATCAGACAACAAGCTAATGTGAGAAACACTACTAGAGAGGTATGCATGTTGTTGGAAAATCAAACAATGGGGACAAGTAGTCAGTTGTCCAGCAACTCCAACGTGAAAATAAAAGGGTTGAACTGAAAGCTGGAGAAGAGGAAGGAAATATGGTATATAAGTGAGGAAAAACTATATTAGAGAAAGAAATGACCTGTTCATGAAAGTTGTACCACTTTGTATGAGTTTGGAAATGGCATTGTAGCAGGTATGCAGAAAACTGCTCGGCCTTTGACAATCATAGAAGCCTGCAGTGACTATGATATATGGCACTTCCCCAGTACTGTGACATTAGGGGTCTTTTCCAAGAGCAGAAGAAATTACCCAGATTTTGCCCTCAGAGAAAGGAGGGCCATACTTAGCTTTGCCCTTGGGTGGTGGTGTGTTGGATGGATTCAGTGTGGAATGGGAAGATGAGTTGGGTGCATACACAGTTGCCCAGGGGAGATAAGATGAGAGCTTTCAGGACAAGGTCAGTAAGCAAATGCAGAGCAGGAAAGAAGGTGAGACATAGGTTGAGGTAAGAGGAAAAAATGGCAGTTAGATGAGGTACCTGAAAACACAGAGTCAACATCGGGCTCTTTCTTCCTGTAGAGGAAATATTGGCTCACTCTACTAATAAGTTGGGTATTTGGTTTTGGTTTTGTTTCTTAAGAAACTTATGAGGCTACAATAAAGGGAATGTTCAGCTGCATTGCAAGACCATATGATTGGTATCAAAAATAGCCTGATGTGCAAAGTGCATTTGGAGGACTGCCTATAGAACTCAACTGCCAGTAATAAGCTTAGACTCCATTTCATAAAGGGATTGTGACTTCCAACCAACACTGTCTCTTTTAGGCCCTTGGACTCTGTACTTATGAGCTTTGTAAAGGTACTTAGTACTTTGTAGCTCTGGACTTACATAACCTAAGGTGGTTTCACACATGTCCACTAACTCTGGCTTCTTGAAAGACTGAGAAAAAAGGAATAAAGGACCTTCTATATCACTGTGAAGACCATTACTAAGAGCTCACCTGAGGAAGCAATGCTGACATGCCCTGTTTCTTGTCCTATATCTCTACACTGCCTTATTACCTGTTAGATTTTATCTTATCAGGTCACATGAATAGGAATGACCATCTGAACTGGAAAAGATGCTGGTGGTCATTTAAAGAGGGTATCATAGAGTGGTAGCTCGTTCTGGCACCTGGACCCAGTATGGCCCCGTGGCCACAGTCTAGGCTTGGAACTTGTCCCAGGAGCTCCAAGTAAATGAGAGTACGAAAAAACAAAAACAGAAAGATAAGATCTCAGTGAATGTTATCACACCTTGATGGTAAAGGAAATGTCTGCAGTACAAGATAGGGATTTCTCTTAGCTCTGTGCTAAGAAGGGAAATGTTATAAAGGCTATATGAAGATGAATCTAGATCTACTAATACCATTCACTGGTGCCAAGTTCATCACGTACAAAAGGAACCTGATAAGGAATGAGGTTGAAAGAGAATCAGAAGTGTATCCCACCTATTGGTCCAAATGGTGAAAACAGCCCAGAGGCCATATGCATGTAGCCCCTGGTTTTAGGGACTGTGGTCCAGATCAGACTCTGATAAACTGCAAGATCAGAGGTAGGCATTGCATCATGGGTAAATATTAAATGATGTCTACCTGTGTTTACAACAAAAGCATGATCCAAACATGGGGTAGGGACATCCAGTTATTTGTCATCCCATTTGTCACAACAAGAGCTTATAGAGAGGGGAGGTTCAGAACAAGCATTCAGCCTTGGGGCTACAGAAATTACTTTAGGTGTGGCTTCAAGGGCTTAAGGTCAAATCACCTGATGCTATAAGACACAGAAGAGGAAAGTGCAGAGGAGCTTTAGGCCTCACATATAGAGGTTCACCCCTCACAACCTGAGCAGTAACTCCAGGGCTCCAGAACAGGCAGGGAGATACCTAGATATGAAAGTTTGAGCGGTCCCTGAACTGCAGGGATATCAAAAATGCCTAGACCATCCCTAAGGACTATGGTTTTGAAACCACATAAGGATGCTTTACCCACGGACCTGTGCCCCAGAGCTGAACCTACAAAACATCTGCCTCGAAAAATGAACAAGATTTATACCCAGGAGAACCCAAAGGGTGGAGGACACCAGGGGTCCTTTCTTAGGGGCTCCTGTACAGGATTTAAAAGACTTGCAGAACTTGCCCCAGGATGTGGGGCAGAAGTAGAAGTTTGAGAAGTTCATAGACCAGGAAAGAGATACATCTCCTGCACCACTGGAAGCCTAGTTGGACTCTCACACAAGGCAGACATGTGCTGTGAGGTGACAATGCTGATACAAGCACTACCTTGTCGATGCAGGGCTGCATTTTCTTCTAACCTGTAGGTGCTGCTGGTGATACCTGCACCATCTCCCTGCTGCAGGAGCACAGCCTGAGCTGACTGGGGACTGAGTGCCCATGCCCCAGTCCTCTCCTCTCCTTGGGCCACACCTCTGCACCACCTTAGAAACTCTACTGAAGCCAACCCACCACTGAGGCCCCATCAGAGTGTTTGGGCTCTGGCAGCCTTCACAGGACGCCCTTTGAGCTCCTGCCTGTGGTGCCAGCGGTAGGAGGGGTGTGTTTTTGTGCCCCAAGGTCTGTAACAGTGGACCACAGAGTTCTAGGCAGGCTGCCACCCTCCAGGCACTTCACAGAGAGCACAAGGAAACTTACCTCCAATCTCCTGGGAAAAGGACCTGTTCACTTGTTCTGGAATTCCAGCCTGAAGGACAGTTGTGGGCAGGATTCACTCTCCACACCAGGGGCTAAGAGTCTCCAGAACAGCAGAGTGAAAATGAAAGTTAAATTCTTAGGGGCGGAGAAGGGGAGGAGAAAATCTGTGGACCAATGAGGGGCATTCACATAGGGCCCATAAAACATTAAGCTTTTGTGCCTGAGTCAGAGGGGCCAGCAAGTATATTTTAATCCTAGCTGAGCTCTGCTCCCTGGGGCTGTTCTCATGGCTCTCAGAGTAATCCATCTTGGGGAATTAGGCTATCCTAAGCTGTGTACTGTCCCACACATCAACCTCACCATGGTACCTTACAAACAAGGTGCTCTGAGGAGGGAATCAAGTCTGTCTTTTACTATACTGAGGTCCCACACTACAGGCTCACCTGAGGTAATGGTACTGGCAGCTCTCCCCTGTCCTGTATCCACCAGCTGAAGGAAGTGAATCTGCCCATTTGTGTCCTGTTAGGTCATGTGAGAGGGAATGGATGCTCAGATCTGAATTTACCACAGGTGGTCAGTCAGAGGGCCTCTCCCAGATGGTAGCATGGTGATGCTGACTTTCAGAACCTGGATTCAATATGACAAAATGACACTTCTTCCTAAGTGGACTGCAGAGATCAAATTACATGAACTGTCTTTTGGGGGGCAATGTCATCAAACACTATGTAACAAAGAATCTCTATAGTCCCAGCATAATAAAAAGCAAAAAGGGGTGAAGCTGTGATGGATGACTTCATGGGTCAATGTGACCGGCCACAGGGTGTCCAGAGTAAACATTTGTCAATGTAAAAAACCTTGGAGCCTGTAGGGAATTTTGTTTAGTTTATTTGAGTCACTGACAACAAGTGGCAGGAAGTAAAATCTCAATGGATTGAGAAAT